TTTATTATTCTCAGCTTTGTTTAAATTTTTTTCTTAAAACTATATTTTAAAGTAAAACAAGCGTTGACCTCGACGTTGTCTCGTGTCCTCGTGTGTTTTCCAGTCGCGAGCTCTAAACGGCATCTGTGAGAAGACGGCCCAGGTGACCTCTGACCCGTCGAAGAGCGAGATGTCGTGTCTGGAGGAGGTTCACATCACCAACGTCAAACCTGGGGAGGGACTGGTGAGCCGGAGTTAAAGAACTATAAGATCTAGAATGTGAATTTGAGGCAGAGAAGAATTTATTTCAAGAGACAGGAGCTGAAGCCAAGTGTTTGAGGCGGAGGCTGAAAAGAGGAGCTGCAGCAGCGGACAGTTTGAGGAGCGTGATGTTTTGTGAACATTAGAGCAGGAAGCAGTTCGAACACTCATCAGAATGATCGACCTGAAGATGAGCAGACATTCACTCCAGCCTTCACTTCTCGTGGTGCAGCCTGGAGTGATGACAGTGAGACCTCAGACATCATAGAAAGATCTTCACGTACAAACGCAGCAGTGGATTTAAGATCTTTGGTGAAAGTAAAACAGTCGCTCAGCTTTCTGCCCCGCGCTGATTGTGACCTTGACATTTCTTCCATTGTGCTTTTCTCTACGTGACACGAAGTTCGACCAAGTTGTAAATCTTCACTTTTCAAAACATCCGCCCTCTTCTACCATTGTGAGCTATATTTACGCTCCTTCCTCCTGAGAGAGAACGGAGCTTCACTTCTCAAAGCTACAGAAACATTCAGATAACAGATAGAAACTTACACCATCATTTACATTCTGACCATATCAGCGGGACGCCACAGAGAAACGTCAGAAAGAAAATCCCCAATTTGACCCGACTTCCTTAGAGAAACACAAACAGGTATTTTAATGAACCACAATCAGAGGAAAACAGAAACAGATGTAGGTCCACAGGGGAAAAAACCCACAACCACCAGTGCAACGGGGAATTAGAGAGAAACCACGAGGGACGTGTTTATACAGAAGATTCATATGTTCGCTCTCCAACACTGAGTCCTTTAAATCTCTTTAATCTTCCAGGGGATTTACATCAAATCCACGTACGACGGACTTCACGTCATCACAGGAACCACAGAGAACGTGAGTGTGTTCTTTATCACAGCATTTCAACAAACACAGCGTTCTCAGACGTTCAGTCCCGAAAGTCCCAAAAACATTTCTGCTTCCTCGAGTTGCTCAGTCGTCAGAAAAAACGTAGATTTACTGTGAAAACCAGAAGATGCTGCGTGTGGTCGTGTTCTGACTCATATTGACTTCACGGTGTTTGTTGTGTTTATCAGTTTGTTCAGTTCTCTGAAACTCTGTGATTCACAGTCTCCTGCTGATAAAACCCAGAGGATTCACGCTGGAGACGAAGTCGTGGAGGTCAACAAACAGACGGTGGTGAGTTCAAGACTCCGTCCGGCAGCTCCAACAGACAGAAGGTTTTAGATTAAGGTCAAGGCTACGTTTGGGTTTAAGGTTAAGTTCAAATTAATTTAAAAGTCAATGTAATCAACCGATCATTCATCATCATATGTATAAATAACGTCAATATGAAAGTACACCATTACAATATATAAAGTTAGCACGGGCTCCATCGGACAGAGCAGTGCTAGCTGTGTCTTTTTGCTAAGCTATAATATTGCCCCCTGGAGGCTGCAGTGCTCATTACAGCTCAGCGCTCTGCTCTGTGATTGGTCCAGGTGGGCTGGCAGCTGAAACACCTGGTGGACGCGCTGAGGGCGGAGACCGGAAGCGTCGCCCTGGTGGTGAAGAAGAGGCCGTGCAGCGTCTCCGGCGGCTTCGCACCCGCTCCTCTGAAGAACCTGCGCTGGAGACCGCCGCTCGTTCAGGTGACTGATAAACACGCCCCTCTCCACCCGGGCTCCTCCCCTCGCCTGTTGTCGTGAACGAGTCGGACAAACACCGACTTCACAACGTGTCCACACACTGTTTGCCTGAGTTCAGGTCTGAAAACGTCGTCTCGGCTGGTTTGCGATTGCTCATTGTGGATTTGAGTTTTGACAGTTTGTGGTTGACGTGACCCAGTGGGCCGCTCCTCTGAGGCGTGAGGCTGAACAATGGATCCCTTCTTCACTTTTCCTGGAAAACCACCCGGGACAGGAAACCCTGCAAACATCACGCTGCGTTGATGATGTCAGACCTCGTTGGAAGATGACTCACATGTTACTCGAGACAATGTGACAATTCTGAATTCAACCCGGCGCCTTACGGGGGTTTGTGTCGACAGAGGTCCAGGATGTGTTTGTTGAGGGCAGATTGGTCTCCAGTGGATGAGTTCAGCCTCTAATCTGAGTTATCAAAACAGATCTGAGGTCTGTACGTCATCGTCATTTAGATCATCAGCGTTAACGTCGCCCCTGAGCTCAGCACCCCCCCACACCGGACTCAGAAATACACAAAGTACTTTTTCATTTCGTCTGCAGATGATGAAACATAACGATTCAAATTAATTGTTAATAAAAATATAAATTAATCTCTGGTTCTGGTTCAGTCAGAGATTTTCATCGTTGGTTTTGTTCCTTAAAAATTCAAATATATCAAATCACCAGAATTTTCTCTGGACGGAAACTAACTTTTAACAGCGGAGCAGCGAATGTGTCTCAAACTCCTTCAGACGTGATTGTGGGACAAAGCAGAGACAGAGTGAATTTCCTGTGTTTATGGAAATGCAGCAGCTCTGGAGGAAGGAAAGAGAAAAGCTTTGTCGGCTGTTTCTCGTCTCGAGCTGGAACGTCTCACTGTTGTTTCGTGATAAACGTTTTTAAGGAAGAGTCACCTCCTCCTCGTCCTCCTCCTCGTCCTCGTCCTCGTCCTCCGCTGCTGCGTCACAGAAATAATGAACATTCCTGGATCTGAGTTCTGTCTCATTGTGTCTCAGGTGTCATGAAAACCCGTCAACACTCGGTCTCACACTAATATTTTCTCTCGTCCTTCATGCAGACGTCTCAAAGATCTTCAGGACTCTACAGACCTCGACAGCCGGAAACTTCAGACGCTCCCGGGACGAGAGGGAGAGCGGCCATCTTGGATTTGTACATCCCTCCTCCTCCTGCAGCGCCGTACGTCCCAACGTGAGTAACAGACTGAGGACGAGTTTATTAAAGACGAGTGCATCTACACTGATGTGATCATATTGTCTTCATGGGTCTGAACTGGAACAATTTAATGAAACAGGTTGAATTTAGAAACTTGACAAAGAGAGCGACTGTTTAAAAATAAAAAAATATTCTGATAATGACTAGAAAAAAGAAAAGTCAGACTCCTGATCTGTCTCTGCAGAGACGGGAACACCAACGTGTCTCCAGGTGTCAAACTGAGGCCCAAGTCTCCGAACTCGTGTCTGGACTCAGACACACGGCGTCCCATCTCTGTTGCAGACGACATCAGGACGTCCGTCAGCCCCGAACACAACCAGCCAATCCCTGTCCACTTTCGCCTGCGCTCCTCTACGCGTTGTGAGTGCACACACACACACACACACACACACACA